GAGAGCAATAATCCTAGGGCCAGTATTTTGGGGTATTTCTAAATTGATGACCTGTGGGGGCTTTTAAAGTGTCTTTTATTGACTTTTTGGGGTACTGCAGTTTTTCGCCGTTTCACAGTCGCACGCAATCTGTAAACTGGGCATGTTGGGTATCGTTTTACTCGTTGTAACCTCATCTTTTATATTTCATTTAAAAAATGGGTAATTTGTTGTGTTTTGGGGCATTTAATTAAATTTGTCACTAAATTTTGGGGTTTAATAAGGAGTTGCGCTAATATTGCGCAACATAAAAATTTTCAACTACCACCATTTTATTCTATAGGGTCTTGGCATTCAGAAAATATATAATGTTGGGGGGTTTTACGTCATTTTCAGGTCTAAAATGTGGAATATAACATGGGTGCAAAAATTGAAAAAAGGGCCTCAGTCATGAAGGGGTTAAACACTGTACTGTTACTCAAAATATATTCTGACTAGTTTGGCGCTATTGTTACCCCTTAAAATAGAAAAAGATATAAATGTACAAATCCTCGTCAAACTCTGTATTCTGCTCTGTAAGAATTCTCAGTATTATTCCGAAAAAAGGGGCAAGGTACTAACTCTTACTATTAGGGTCTGGTTTCTTGACTGCTGCCATAGGTGAAGAGCTGGGCACGGTGGTGGAACCGGTGCGGCCCGGAGTCCGAGGGGAACCAGTGGGAGCTCTGGCGGGCGATTCCTGAAAAACAAAAAATTATACGTATTTTAATGTTCTTTTCTAATGGTTTTAGATCATCTTGATTTATAATTGTTGACAGGTGAGAAAACAGTATAATCACTGCATTATAAATGTATTGTATATCACGTTCACATGAACATATATGGCACATCATACATTGTACAGGGCTAACATATCCATGGCATGGCTTAAATTGAACAAGCCATAATGTTCTTTTTGGTTATGTCGAAAATCAAGGGACGGCAAGGGAACTAAACTGATTTCCACCAATAAAGTGTAGCACTTTAAAATAGATTTCTGGGACAATCAAAAACCTACCCTTGCAGTGGGGCTACCCCTGCGCTGCAAGAGTTGAGTTCTCGTTTTGTCAAGAGGAGTCAAAGCAGATTTACTTATCTGACCTTCGGTTCGCTCTGGGCTGCTAGTCCCTGCGTGCTCTTCTCCCCTGGGCTCCAGCGGTCCACAGACCGCTGACGTCATCACATCTTTTCCAGGTTCCATAGACCTGCAGTAGACGTGAGGACACCAAGGGACATTCCAAAATCTGGAGTGGAGGGGGAGGATAGAGAGTGCCGACCGCCGGGGGACCAAGGATCAGGTGATTAAAACTGATTTGTGCCCCCTAGACAAGTTTTTTTAAAGTGTATCGAAAGCCAAAATGTGACATAGGATTAATTAGGGAAAGGTTAATGCCCATGTCACTATTTCGTCATCTATGGCCCCACTAGGGAGATTTCCCTTCTTCCCTCTTGTCCATTAGACAACAGACAGTGAGAGAGAAAATCTCTCCAAAGTGAAGCAAATCCCTTCTTAGACAGTTGTAACTGGAACAAGTGTCCCCACTGGAAGACTTCTGCTCTATTCCTGCTCAAAGGACAACTCAAACTTCTGACAGGGCTTCCTTTCCCTCATCATCCTTTCCAAAACAGATAAAAGGTTTTGGCTTTACATACACCTTAATGCCCAACATGCCCCTTACATCAAACCTGTCAGGTACTAATATAATACCCCCTATTCAGCATGTTATCCTAGATTGCCTTTTCAAGATTCATAATTCTTAAGGGTGACCTCTAGCTGGATTGCACGTTGCTGCATATTGAGGTGTGTTGTGTTACGGCAGTTTATTCATTTGAATTGGCTGTCTAACGAACCAAAAAAGGTGCATGTACTTTTTCTGTAATGCTGCGCACCACACTGCGGTGTGCTACATTGTACATCCGTTGGCAAGTTGTGGCGTCATTCATAAATGAATGGAACAGGAGCACAGTGTGAAAACAGCAAGTTTTTGTGCATTACTGCTGTGTGACAGTGTAAAAAAAACTATATGTACAAAAGAGGATATTTGCGGCCATTCAAATGCTAGTCAAGCATGGGTCGGCTCAGAACAGCCTTAGAAGAGATGTAGTGAGCTGACTGAACACAATAGGAGCATTTAGTAAAGGTTCAATAAGGGTATGTGCTTCAGAGCTTTCATTAGCTGAACAGAAGGTCTGTGAGGAAGGGTGTTCACTTCTCACCCATGGCTTGTGACGGTCATACTGCTCTGCTGTTAGACATCCATGTATTGGGGCTGCACTGGCAGGCGGCCACCAACACATAACACACAAGTGATCTGAACTGCTTCACTGTCTGCTAAAGAAAGGGATGGCTACTCTTTTGTACAGCATGGGATCACTAGCCTGGGGCCAGAGATGTTCAGATAACAAGCAGGCTGAACAACTGGAACTGAACAGATTTAGCCCAACAAAAAATACATATAAAAACCTAAGAGTATGCAATAGTAAAATCCTAACTTCAGCCAAATATCTGACAGGACAAGAAAGCAACAGCAGTAATAAAAATGTTTTTTTTAAAAATGATTTTGCTCCTGGCAGGAAGTTAGGATATATATTCCCAACAAGAACACACATGGCAATTAAAAACCAGACAGAGGATCTAAGCCTTGACCATGTGATCAAAAATAAAATAAATTTTGCTTTGAGTTTGGCTTTAAAAATGATATAAAGATACGGATCACCTTTTAGTTGGGCAAAACAGGAAAACATGTTAAGATACACCTATATTGGGGCAAGTGATGGTTTTTATGTGGTGCATATACAATGAGGCAACCTCCTATGTTAAAGAAAATCGGACACTTTTGGGCCTAAGCAGGAATTTGCCTTATTCAGGTTTACTTTGCTGGAGCGCCATTCTTCAGCCTAAAGAGAACAAGCCACAACAAGGTTTTATAGAACAATATGGAGGCTTCCTCCAGCAAGCCACCTCTGGTAAGAAAGCTGCTGCCCTCCCTGTCGCCCACCATTTTAATATTGACGCTGGAACCCTTCCTCAGACTGATTCAATCCGACCCCCAGATACACGGAGTACGCATAGGTGACTGCGAACATAAGGTAGCAGCTTATGCAGACGACATGCTGTTTTTTCTGACTGACCCCATGACGTCCCTGCAGAGACTGCGTTCCATGTTCCTGGAATATGGTACCATGTCAAACCTTTCTATCAACTACACTAAATCAGAAGCTATGTCCCTCGGTTTACCTCCTGGGGATGCTCTGGAGTTGAGAGATACCTTTTCATACCATTGGGCCCCCTCAGCGGTTAAATACCTGGGCATCCACTTACCGGCCTCATCAACAGAGCTATTCAACCTGAATTATGCTCCTATGATCCAGACCATCACCCAGGATCTTCACCGGTGGAGGGCCTTAACATGCTCTTGGTTTGGCAGGGCGGCCCTAATCAAAATGAATGTTCTCCAGAAACTTTTGTACCTGTTCCAAGCAATTCCCGTCAAGCTACCCAAACTTTACCTAAAACACACTGGAGGCGGCATTTAAGCGTTCATCTGGCTAGACCGACGTCCGAGAATAGCATGGTCATTGTTGAAAGCCCCCAAAATCCATGGCGGCCTTGACGTGCCGGACATACCGAGATACTATTTAGCTGCCCATCTATGCCGGGTCACTGACTGGCATGTCAACGCACCGTCCAAACTATGGGTCACCATGGAAACGCAATGGGAAAAGGCAACCGTCACAAATTTGACATGGGTTCCCCCACGACACGTACCCGGACACTTGACCACCCATCCTTTAATCGGAGCTACTCTAACGGAATTCTCCACCCAAAAGCGAAGGGGCATTCTTACGACTTCGGACAGCCCCATTACACCCCTGGCCCATAACCTGGACTTTGTCCCTGGCTGCACTCCAGATTTCCTCTCCCACTGGGCTCCCTCTGCAGCGCTGGCGGCCCATGCGTTCTTTAAACGTAACAGCTTCCTCAACAGGGAAGATCTGGCTCGTCTCTCCAGGACAGGACAGCTCCCTTGGTGGATATATTTTCAGGTGCGACACTACCTCACTTCTCCTGCTAGACAAAGCAACTTTGCCCGCAACATGAACGGCTTTGAGAAGGCGTGCAATGCCGAAGGCCCTTCTCGCCACCTCATATCCTGGATTTATGGCTTGGTTCGTCCGGCCAAACCTACACGCTTAGACACCTTGCGGGTTGCCTGGGAGAGGGAGCTAGACCAAGCTATCCCAGAGGACGCGTGGGAGACAGCATGCGAGGGGGCCCACAAGAGTTCAATCAGTTGTAGAACCCAGGAAACCAATTTCAAAATACTGTCCAGATTACCTGGGCATCCACTTACCGGCCTCATCAACAGAGCTATTCAACCTGAATTATGCTCCTATGATCCAGACCATCACCCAGGATCTTCACCGGTGGAGGGCCTTAACATGCTCTTGGTTTGGCAGGGCGGCCCTAATCAAAATGAATGTTCTCCAGAAACTTTTGTACCTGTTCCAAGCAATTCCCGTCAAGCTACCCAAACTTTACCTAAAACACACTGGAGGCGGCATTTAAGCGTTCATCTGGCTAGACCGACGTCCGAGAATAGCATGGTCATTGTTAAAAGCCCCCAAAATCCATGGCGGCCTTGACGTGCCGGACATACCGAGATACTATTTAGCTGCCCATCTATGCCGGGTCACTGACTGGCATGTCAACGCACCGTCCAAACTATGGGTCACCATGGAAACGCAATGGGAAAAGGCAACCGTCACAAATTTGACATGGGTTCCCCCACGACACGTACCCGGACACTTGACCACCCATCCTTTAATCGGAGCTACTCTAACGGAATTCTCCACCCAAAAGCGAAGGGGCATTCTTACGACTTCGGACAGCCCCATTACACCCCTGGCCCATAACCTGGACTTTGTCCCTGGCTGCACTCCAGATTTCCTCTCCCACTGGGCTCCCTCTGCAGCGCTGGCGGCCCATGCGTTCTTTAAACGTAACAGCTTCCTCAACAGGGAAGATCTGGCTCGTCTCTCCAGGACAGGACAGCTCCCTTGGTGGATATATTTTCAGGTGCGACACTACCTCACTTCTCCTGCTAGACAAAGCAACTTTGCCCGCAACATGAACGGCTTTGAGAAGGCGTGCAATGCCGAAGGCCCTTCTCGCCACCTCATATCCTGGATTTATGGCTTGGTTCGTCCGGCCAAACCTACACGCTTAGACACCTTGCGGGTTGCCTGGGAGAGGGAGCTAGACCAAGCTATCCCAGAGGACGCGTGGGAGACAGCATGCGAGGGGGCCCACAAGAGTTCAATCAGTTGTAGAACCCAGGAAACCAATTTCAAAATACTGTCCAGATGGTACAAAACCCCAGCACTCCTTCATAAAATAGACCCTACAGTGCCAGATTCTTGTTGGAGATGCAACTTGACACGAGGGACAATGCGCCACATTTTTTGGGACTGCGCCCTTCTCCAACCTTTTTGGAGGCGGGATTACAGGGGAACAACTTGCTTTCCACCCGAGTGGCTACTTGCTCCATATCCAGGAAGAGGATGGTGGGGGCCCACGCAAATCTCTATGTAAACATCTGATAAATGCAGCTAGATCTCCGATACCTAGACTATGGAGAGATGTGAGACCCCCATCTCTTACCGAATGGATTACTCAGGTGAAATACATTGCTGAAATGGAAGAACTTTTTTTTACCAAACAGGACAAAATTGCCAAATTCTCTAGACTGTGGGCGCCATGGACCCATTTCTGTGGGACAGTGTATGCAGAAATCACGAAAGACCCCGCGTAGAAGAATAGTTGGTAAACAGGTTGCATATTGATCATATATGACCACCTATCTAGGGAAAGAGATAACACATCCTGTGAGAATATGTAATGCGCAAGACGCTTTGAGTCTCCCCGGGCCATTGCATGGATTGGACTGCTGTAGAGACCTCTGGGGCCCTCCCATCGAGGACTCCCTACTTTCCACTTTCTATCACCTTTTCCACTTTTATACCCTTTTTGTAACCCCTGTCTCTCAGTGTGTATGTTACCCCAGTATATGTGTCTATGTACTTAATGTCATGATGGCTACCACAGGTCAACCTTATAGCCGACTGGGCATTGGTCGCTGATCTGCCCAGTCGATAATTTTACACGAACATCCTGGTGTCATAAGTACTATACAAGCTGTCCTCGCGGTCGGGACCTGAGACCGAATGCAGTAGACGTTACCGACTACACGTTCCTTATTGTATTAGGTTGTGACGTGAAATAAGCCGCTTGGCAGTGTGACAGCATACGGCTTGACCAATGTGATATGATATGTTGTGATGTGTTTGATCACCCTGTATGTTCTATATTTCTGTTATGTTCAATAAAATAAAACATTTTAAATGGAAAAAAAAAAAAAGAAAGCTGCTGCCCTGTCACCTGCCTAACCTGATGAAGATAACCCTATGTGGTCTTCTAGCGCCTAAGCATGCATAATAGCATCAAGAAACAGAGCTACATTGTGAAGAGGAATATAAACTACAGTACTCTATTTGATAATGCTATGGGCACTCAGGGGCTGGTAGAAAGCCAGTGCCATGAGGTTGGCAACACAGGGCAAAAAGTGTCAAGACATCTGAAGACCTCTTAACGTCCCATTATTGTGTGACAGGCATAGAGTACAGCAAAAGAAGGGTGCACATAAACAATAGTCAAGGCCTTATGTACAGCCTGGGTCTGGAATCTAGGGAGAAAACTTGCCACATTTTAGGATACTTACCGAGGCTCTTGTTGGAGTGGCTGGCTGCTTTGCCAAGTAAGACTGTCAAAACAGAAATAAAGCTTATGTGAAGTCATGAAATAGAAAGCAATCCGATATATAAAAACAAAATAAACATTTTATCAGACCCTAAGCAACAGTTCTAAAAATGGCAGCTGTTTACCATAAATTACACCTTTCTGCATCACATAAATATTGCTTTCTTGCTTACCGTCTTCCCAAATGCACGGGGGCTGGATACAGTCACTAGACACACCTGATGTGGTGCCAGCTAGGCATCTGCTAGGAGTCACTTTCAAGCAAACTGAGCAGGGCTGGGCAGGGGGCACGTAAGCCAAGCTGACCACAGGTCTGCATACTTTGGGTCAGCACAGCATCCTGTAGCTCCTATTAGGAGCAGAGGGGCACAAGAAGCTCAAGAGGAGGTGAATGGCAGGATCACCAAGTATTTGCTGCCAATGATGAAAATGACAAATAAAAGAAAGATGTACAGAAGGCTGTTAGGGGCAGCGGGGATCCCTGAACAGACCTTTTACTATTAAGATTTACGTACACCTTAAAAACTTTCACCTTTGCCAGTCTCTGTCTGCTCTGTTACATAAATAAAGCTAAGGGGCCATAGAAAGGCAGAGAAAAAAAAAAAAAAAAGATTAAAAAGGAGAACTATGGGGTCAGTGTTTTTCCCCATAGTTCTCCTTAGGGTAACGGGAGGACACAAACTAGCGTCCTCCCGTCACCCTAAGCTCAGTATACCGCGAACTACAGCTAGCGGTATACTGAGATGCCAGAGCGGAACCTGACATCGATGTCGAGATCCGCCCAGCTGCGTGAGTGACAGCTGGCTCTGCCTATCTAGAGGCAGAGCCAGCTGTACTCGCCCCATCCGTTCCGCCAGTCAGCGCTGGCGGATCGGAGCGGGGAGGGGGGAATCCAACCCCTCCCCTGTCACGGCAGAAAGCCGTGACAGGATCGAGAAGTGAGCGAACACCGGCATGTGTTCGCTCACCTCCCGATCTACTGAGCCGACCTGTGACAGTCTCATTGTTACAGGTCGGCTAGAACTATGAGGTGAGTGAAAAGCACTCACCTCATAGTTCTCCTTTAAGGGAAAAAAGGAAATGACTGCCGTTTGGCTACAGATCTTTTCCAGCTTGTTGGAAAATGTCTGCATGTGAAAGAAAATGAGCTCTACAAATTACTGGACAAGCACACACCTTGTAATCACAAATCAATCACCCATCTCTTTGACCAGATGCTTGGGCCTCAAAAGTGTACATGCTATGTGCTTAGCTGGCAGCCCTGAAAAACATTCCTTGCATCCATGGGGACTAAAATCTGTGAGCTGTAGAAATCCAACCTTGGATGATATACTATGCCCTAAGATCTCTGGTACCTCACACACAGAACTGGAACACAATTCTGCCAATTTCTGCAGGATTAGGCTATTCCAAGGCCAAATCAAGACTAACTGATAAAATGCATAATGACATTTAATGAGCCCTCGCAGAAATCACAGCTGCAGTGTTAAAAAATGCAGGCGGCATTCTGTGACACAATGTCCCTAATGTGTAAAGACAGCTGAATAAAGAAGCAGCAACACAATGACAGGGTCCATTCTTTGCTTCCCCCTCCTCTGAGCAAAGCTTTCACTTAGTCTGCACTGAGCAAAAGTTAGTCAGCGGGTTTGTGATGCTGGACCCTTCTCTCTGGGACTTCATCCTGGTGTGCATGGAAGACAATATACAAGACAGGTTTCTTATATTTTTCAAGTTGAACCCAAAAGATTTGCTGTCGATTTGGCAGAGGTAAATTTTAAGCTGCAACTTACCTCCATAGCTGTCATCAAGGGATCTGCTGCTGTATAAATGTGGTACCCTGAAGTTGGCTCCCAGTTCTAGCTTACCTCTGGACCCTGAGCACCAATCTGCTTCGTATTGACACATCCCTATTATGCACAGCGCACAGAGGTACTCATGGCCCAGACGTAAACTGGCATTAGAATCAAGCATCAATGAAAAGTATTTTTTACAGCAGCAGATACAGAGGTATGTATCAATTATACTTCTACACTGCTCCTGAAACTACACATTAAAATATCTTTACTCAGTTTGCTGTCCTTTAGTCATGTTTCAATGCATACATATGAATTGAATCATGCTTTAAAAGATAACTAAAGCCTTTTTTTTCAGCTTTAGTTCTGTGACCCAAACTCAGCATATAGCCGACTACAGCGTGCTATATGCTGACAGCACAGAGCGGTGCTGCAGCCAGGAAATATCCCCACAATATTGCTACATGATTGACAGCTGGGTCTGCCTCTCTAGCACCATAGCCAGCTGTGCCTGCCCCCTCCCCTGTCTGTCCCTCCAATGAGGGGAAGAAAGGGAGAGGAGGGGAATCCCTGACAGTCACAGCTTTATGCGTGAAGACCGTTAACAGAGCAATCATTGCTTTGAGATAGTTCTTGATCTATAGAGCCGGTGTGTGACACTGCAGCTCAAAGCATTGGGAAGAGTACATTTTACTCTACCAATAATTCTTCTTTAATGCATACACACGGACTAAAAAGATTTCTCTGTTACCCTGGATTATCTTTAAATCATCTGCCCTATAAAAATAGTTTTTGTTTTGTACATATAGTAAAGTTGCATCTACTTTACTTTAAAAAAAAAAGTGATTTAAAAGGAGAATGAACTGCCATACCTGTTGCTTCATTAGAAAGACCTGCTCATCTTCTGCTGCCACCTCCTTATCATGGACCAGCTGGTGAGAAAAGACACAGATTAGGTTAGGTAGACCTTTTCCATCCGCTGACAATTTCAATCTACAAATTCCCCTCTAGGGACTCCTGCATTAATTCAAGTCAATGATAAGCGCTTCGATTGTGCCAGACAAACAGCAATGTTTGAAAGAAGATGATCTAGTATGACAGGACTGCAACCATGAAAAGAGTTAGTACAACTCTTAGGCTAGGTTCACCCCTAGGCGATTGAGGTAGTGAGCTGTTTTCGTTTGTGCGACTGCGCTTGAAAATCCGTGCAGTTTTCAATGCATAGAGATGTCCGAGTCTCAAACCGCACAACAACCACCCGAAAATAGCTCCTGCACCTTTTTGGGGGACAAGTGATTTCGTCCGCGTGACAAACTGCAAAGGTGTGAACAGCCTCCATTGTGTTTTGCGTGATAAATCGCCTAGGTGTGAACCTAGCCTAAGTCATAAAGATATCCACCACATCATTTACATAAAGTAATGACATACCTTTCTAACAGGCGGCTTTACAATAAAGTCTTCGAAGGCATCTTCTGGTTTGATGCTTGCAAAATTTTCATGCAAAATTCCGATTTTCTTCTCATTGTCCCAACCAGCAGGACTAAAGAAAACATCACAACAGAAAAACGTTAAGAGCACATAGAAGCCAATAAAAACAAACTTTCACTTCCATAGAGCAGCTGATAGAACTGCTGCCCTCCTGAACTTGGGACTGGCTGTCGCAAACATGTAATAGTCTACCAAACTCAAACCAGTAAGGAATATGGAATTTTTGGCATGATACCACAAATGGTGCTCAAGCCCACAACCATACTGCTCTCCCAGGTAATCCCCAGGCCTAGGTAGCGAGAGCATACGCTTGCTTTGAACTAGGGATGCACAAATACCAGTATTTCGGAATAGAGTACAAGTTCCGATTTTTTTTTTTCCGCTACTCGCCGATACCGAATACCCGAAGTCCCATTCAGGAAGTGTAATGACTCGCCACCTGGTTTCCTGATTAGCCGGGAAGCCAGGCGGCGTGTAAAGACTCGCCACAAGGCTTCCCAATTAGCAGGGAAGCAGTCCCCATGCTTCTCGTCACTATGTGACGAGAAAGCATGAAGCCGACTTTCTGGCCAATTAGGAAGCTGGATGCAGTGTAATGACGCAACGCCCGGCTTCCTGATTTGCCGGGAAGCCGGCTCCATGCTCCCTCGTATTTTTTCACTTTGCTTTGAATGATAGCATACATGAAGACCTAGATGTGGGGCCAATTACTGAAAT